CCCCCCCCCCAGCTAGTTGCCCCACCAGACAGACCAGCTGCACTCCACTCCAGCCCCAATATGAGGGGCTTCAGTTCCCTGACAACCTACAAAACTATTCAAACAAGCCAATCACCTCCTCCTGCAGGAACCAGGGGGTGCACCACCCTCCATTATTACCAAGCCTGCAGCTCACAGCCCCTGCTGGTTCACTCTGTTCCTTCCTTAGTGCAACCCAGGGTGGCCCTGCCTGGTCCGCAGTGTACTCTCCTCAGGCTGTGAGTGCACAACTAATAACTGCTGTGGGTGTCATGTGTTCGCCCATCCCATACTATTGAGGGGGGGATCCTTCCCTCACCAACTGGGTGCATAGGAGGTGATCAGAACACCAGGGCTGAGAAGGATGAATCTAGCCTCTCTCCCCTGTTGCCAACCCACATTCCCCAACACACCTCAGTCAGCAGCTCCAGTAGGTCTCCCCGGGGGGCAGCTCTGAGGACCTCCACCAGTGTCTGGATAAAGTCTGAACCCTTCTCATCCCGATAGGCTACACAGCCTAGGCCAGAAGACCAGGGCCAGCACGTCAGACTCGGGCTGACCAGCTGCCTTCCAATCCCCAGGAGCCTATTGATGGTGGAAGTGGGGGAAAGTAGACAGGATTCTGGGGAGTCAGGCAAGTGAATGGGGCAGGGAGTGGGAACTTCTTGTTTCTGAAACAAGTTGTTGCCCAATATTTGCCAAGTGAATATATGATGGATTCAATATTGAACAAATAGTCACTGTGAACGTCCTATTTGCTAGGCACTGGGAAGGGCCCTGAGACAGGCGGAACTGCCCTGCCCTCAGGAAACTTATAGCCTGGAGGGAATGATGCAGGTACAGTGCTTGGCATAGTCAGCCTGCAATGCATGCTCACCAGCATTGCTATTATTACAAATAATAAACATGACAGGAAAATGACCTAATTGCAACCAGATGGGTACCCCTGTGCCACAAATGCCAAGCCCCAGCTGCCACTAAAGCCACACCAGACCTCCAGCCAGGAGGCTGGGCCCTGTGTAACCGGGCTTCTTGATGACTTGTCCCCTTACCCTCGGTGGCTGCATAGGCCATTAGGATGTCTGCTTGGTCACAGCTCCCTGGAGTGAAGCTCCTGGAGGAACTGCCTGTAAGAGGGATGAATTCCATTTACCCAGCATCCTGGGACTCCACCAGCCCCAGGGTGACATGTGGTTGGTTCTGCCCCTGAGTCTGGCTCAAGGGCAGCACAAGGCAGTGGAAAGAGTGCAGAGCAGGAAAGACAGATCAGAGTTCAAATCTCAGCCATGTCACTTACCAGCTGTATGACTTCAGGAAAGCTATTTTACCTTCCTGACTCCAGGGTTGTTTCAAGGCTCAAGTAGGGGAGAAACCCTTATGGTTTCAGACAATTTTCCCCCCCAACTTCTTGGCAAAGAGAGGGCAGAGGTGGCAGCAGGACCCCAGCTCAGAACCCTGGAAATGTGCTCTGGACAGACAGCACCCCTCCCCGCAACACACACAGTCACACACACACATACACACACACACACTCACACACACACCCTGCCCTGCCCAAGCCCAGGCTCCAGAAGGAAGGTAGACCTACCTTGGGCATCTGCATAGATCTGGAGGACATCGGCTTGGGAGGGGGTGGCTGGTGGTGCCCGCAGCCAGCGCCAGAACCAGGGGAGAGCTGTGGGCCCCATGCCAGCATCCCTGTGTCCTGAGGAAGGAGAGGACAGGCAGGTCCTTTCATTCAGCAAATATATGGAAGTGCCTCCAGGGGTGTAGCCCCCAGCCCCCAGAACTCCAGGGTAGGCCTGCCAGGCTGGCAACATTCAGAGCACTGAATGAAAAGTGCTGAGGGTAAAGTGCTCAAGTTCATGCACTTGACCTCTAGGAGACACTGGGAGGGGGGCAGGAAAAGGACTAGTGTTCAGGCTTCCTGGAAGAGGTGGGCTGGATGAGTGAATCTTGGGCAGGAGGAGCCAGGCTGGATGTCAGGACCCAGCTGCACCTCCAGGGAGGGCCCCAGACCCCACTCACCCCCACGGCAAGCCTGAAGCAGGAAAATCTTGGGACAGCCTCGCAGGGCCCTGCAGCCGCTCAGCTCCTGCACCAGTGCCTCTGGCTGCACTTCTTGCCCATTAACCCCCAGCAGCTGCCCCTGAGGCCCCCCGTGAGCCATCAGGGCCACAAGGGCACAGCTCACGGGGCCCCTGCAGGTGTCTAGCCGCTCCTGGAACTGGGCTAGTTCTTCCTGAAAAGCCTGGAGTGAGAACAAAGATTGCGGCCTGGGCCAGGGCCACTGCCTTCCCAGTACCTGGAAGCCCTCCAGGTAGGCTTCTCCGCCCCCACCCACCCTACCTCCCACCTCCTGCCAGCTTCAGGATCAGGAAGGAAGTCCTAATCCCTGCTGCAAGGCCTTGCATGGCCTCATTGGAGGTGACATGTGGTTGGTTCTGCAGCTGGTTCTCTAGCAGCAAAAAGTTAAGAGGCATGAGGGGAAGGCAGTGAACTGATGGGTTTTGGGGAAGAACTTGAGACCCTTCCAGGAAGAGCCTGAGGGTCCAACTGGGGCCTTGATCAGGATAGCAGAGAAACAGCCAGCCTGAGAAGCCACAGGAGCCCTGGAGGCAGGGCTTCCAGAAGCAGGGAAGTGGATTCCCAATGCATGCATCAGGGACAATGGAGGCTAGACTTGGGGTTGCCCTTCCTGCCCACCATGGGTGAGAGGCCCAGGAGAGAGCCCCCAGGGTCCTGGGGGGGGCTTTCTTTAGGGCACCACCAGAAGTTCTTGGCTTCCCCTCACCTGGGCTGTAGGGTCTATCCTCACGGTGGTCTCGAAGCCCAGGGCCTGGCACAAGCCCTTCAATGCTTCCACATCCTGCTTGGCCCCAGGCCGGTCCTGGATCACGGCTAGGAGGAGGGCGGCCCTGTCTCTAGACAGGTCATACTGAGCGCTGGGGTTGGGTTCTGGCTACAAACAAGTTAAGGTGCATTGAAAGTAGTCTGAGGACCTTCCAGCTCCTTGCTTCCCCCACCTCGGGTCTCCCTGAGCCTCTGTCCCACTTGCCACTGCTGCCACATGATTGGACACTCCTCCTGCCCCCTTACCTCAGGCCCCCAGGGCTCCACATCTCCCAGGCACAGTGCCCCTCGCAAGGAACTCCGAAGGACTGGGCAGTAGGTGGCCCCTGAGGACTCTTCAGCCGTCCTGCTGAAGACCTGGGGGGCATGGGGCCACAGGACCCTCAGGGGCTATTCCACAGGAGTATGGTGGGAATGACTCGACCAGACTCATAGCTACTATAGTCTCTTTGGGGTCTTCTGCCACTTGAAGGGAGGAGGAGACAAATGGCAGAGGGGGAGGGTCCAAGGGGGGTTCTATTTCAGGCTCAAGGTCAGAGGCTTCCCTGGACGTGAATTATACAGTGGCCATACCATTAACTACCACCTCTCAGGGGAAGGCACCAGACTGGAGAGAGCTGTGGAGCAGAACTGGGGTCTACCCCTCACCTGCAGGATTACCCTGGGCTACCCAACCACCCAGTGAGAACTTTGGGTGTTGGAACCAGGCCTGAGTCATTCCCAACCCTGCCCTTCAGGGGCCTGCAGTCTGATGGAACAGTCACTACCCGGAGGAGTGTGAGCCAGGATAGGCAGAAGTATAAGCATTGACTCAGAGTGGGAGGAAGGGAACCACTGGCAGCCTGGGACTGATGAGGCTGATGGGGACAAGAGGGAGGGAGGGCATGGCAAGCAGAGGGAGCGGCTGGGGCAAAGGCATGGAGATGTGAAGACGCTGGAGTGTCTGGGGGATCCTGAGTGGGTGTGAGAAGGGGCATGGATGGGGGGTGAAAGGCGAAGCCGCAGGCTGACTGCACGTCTGTGGATAATGAATTGTAGAAGAGTATTGTAGAATGGACGGGGGGGAAGCATGTAAATGAATCAAACTGTGTCACAGGCTCAGGGGAGGCCTCCGGCACAGCCTCCTCCCTGGGACTCATCTGGGGCCCCCACCTCCGTCAGCAGCTGCAGCAGGGACCAGTGAGAACAGCGGCCACAGAGTTCACCCAGGACAGTGAGAAAGGCTCCAGGCTTGGGGGCAGCTGGATAGAAAAGTACAGTGTTGGCCTGGAGGGAAAGTCTTAGCCTCCTGCCCACCCCGATCTGCCCTGCCCCAAAATGGGGGTCTCTGCCAAGCCACTCACCCCCAGGAGCACTTGAGAGCATCAGGAAGACTTTGGGGCAGCCCCGCAGGGCCTCACAGCCACTCAGCTCCCGGACCAACTTCTGTGGCTGCCTCAGCTGCCCACTGGGGGCCACCAAGGCCACTAGGACACAGCCCATAGGGACCCCATGGGCATCCAGCTGCTCCCGGAACCCAGTCAGCTCCTCAAGGAAATCCTAGGGCAAGAGTGAAAGGCAGGCCTGGGTCTGGGGAGGCCCCAGGTGGGGCTGAAGATGGAGGCAGTAGGCAGGCTAGTGCTCACCTGGGCCGAGGCCTCCCTCCTCCGGCAGCTGTCAAAGCCCAGGGTCTGGAACACAAGCTCCAGGATGGCCACTGTAGAGGCTGATACCTCAGGGCTGCTGAGTGTCAGGGCCACCCTTCGACCCTGCACGTTGTACTTCCCCTGGGGAGACAAGGCCAGAGTTGGGCTGGGTGGGGCTAAGCTGGGAGCCAGGAGTGAGTTGGGCCAGGCAGTGCCTTCCACTACCTTTCTTTCCAGGCTTTCTTGAGCATCTGCCATCTGTGCGGCCACCTGCAGTGTCCCAGACACGAGAAAGGCCATGGGTGCCAGGTGGGCACTTCCTCTGAGCACAGAGCTCACCTCCTGGCCCCAGCACCAATGTCTTGGGTCCCAATCCTTGCCCTCTCCCTGATCCCTATCAGCTGTTTATGAACTGAGCCGGACTCTGCCCCCTCCCTGGGAAGCTTGGGTCCTGGGCTCCACTCCTTGCTCTGTTCCTTATGTGCAGCAGGCTACTTCCGGGCTGACACTGACATGCCCCTGCCTGAGTCTGGAGCCTGTGCCCAATCCTATTCTTAGCTCCTGGGTCACCTCTTATCTGATCTCGTTACACTCCAGTGTCTCCCTTCTGAGCCAGCCATCAGCATCAGAAATTCGTGCACTGCTCCTGCCACCTGTCACCCCTACTCACTCATGCAAGGTGCCCACACACAGGCAAACAGTAGCCTCAAGCATTAAAGTACAAGGAGTGGAGGGCACTGTACCAGAGGTAGAACCCCAACTGGAGTCAGCTGTCCATGGTGAGACCCCAGTTGCTTCATCTGGGAAGTGGGGTCTGTCTCAGCAACCTCAGTGGGAAGCAACTGTTAGATGGGGGACTGCCTGAGGAAAGGCCTAGGGGGCAGAGAGGCTGGCACAGACCAAGGAACAGAACATCTTGTCTCAGCCAGTCCCACCACTCCTCAAGTAAGCCTGCTGAGGCCACCACCTGGTGAATTGGGCAGGGCGCAGCAGGAGTGGAAGGAGCTGACATGAGCCTAGCAGCTACATGCAGGCCCCAACCTGAGGCCTAGGCATGGGAGCGGTCAGATGTCAAGGGCTACATGGGGAATGGAGGCAAGGCCCACTTTCATTCAGCAGCCCTCTCCCTAATGTATCTGAATACAGGAACCAGCATGAGCACACTGCCACCCTGACCAGTTACCCCATCTCCGAACCTGTTTCCTCATTTCACCAATGGGGAGAAAGGGAATGGCCTGGCAAAGACCCCCAAGTCCTGTTCAGCTTGGATAGGGAAGGGTGCTACTGGCTGTCTCAGACTGAGCTGTCCCTAGACCAGGGTAGGCACTGGCCAACATAGGAGTCTTGAGGTTTATGGTTGCCCTTTGGGGCCCAGCCCACCTGGAAGCCAAGAATGTGGCTCTACCTGCTAACCATCCGGCACCATGTGCAAACAAGACTACCAGGTCGGGAAACCAAGGGGTACAAATTCTAGGTTCCCCCACCCAGCAGCCACCTAAAGAACAGAACAGTCTGGAGGAAGTTTCCACATTTATTCAAACCCTTTTCCTGCTCCCTTTTGAGGCAGGCTGGATTGAGCTCCTTTGGAGAGCCTGTGGTGTGTCCCTGTGAATGCCAATTTGCAGACAATGCAGACAACATGGAATGCAGTGCCTAAGGAGTCAGTGACAAAGTGCTCACAGAGTGCTAGTGTTAAGTAACATCCCCCTCTACCCCCACCCCCGTATCTGGAGGGGAGCATGGGAGCAGTGGGTTTCCACTGGCCCTGATCTTGGTCTTCACAGTAGACCTCCAGTCCCTGGAGCCACCGCTAGTCTCAGCAGAGGATGGCTCTCAAGGGGGAAGTCAGTGGAAATCAGTGGCAGGCAACTTCCATGTCGCCAGGATAGGGCAGAGTGGTCATGGTCTGGAAATGGGAGGGGTGGAGGCCAGAAAACCCTTTAGGCCCCACCCAGGACCCATATCTTCACAGATGTGGGCTGACTGTCCCTCCTAGAGCCTGTCAGCACCCTAGTGGTCAAAGCCTGTCCTCCACCCCTGTGGGAAGGCACAGGTTGGCAGGGCAGAGGGCCTAGCCCATGGACCTGGCCAAGAAGGCAAGGAATGAAGAGCCCCAGGACAAGCAAGGCTGAGGGGAGTTTCTTGGATGGGGGACCCCAGGCCCTGCTGGAGTCCTCACACTTCCCTGCTGCCTCAGCCTTTCTCCCATGCTAAAGCCACCTGCCAGGAATGTGCTGGGGTTCCAGGAAGCCAGAGGGCAGGAAGAATGGCCACAAGGTCACAGGAGATTTCCATTACTTGGGAGTGTTGACCAGGTTCTGGGGCAGAGCAGGGCAGGGCAGTAGGGGTAGTGGTTGCAGAAGGTGGCAGCAGAGGGAGATGGCCATCCTGGTGCTTCGCCTCCCAGAAGATCCCACCAGCCTTCACCCGACGGGCTGGGCCATCTTGGCATGCAGGCTCTGGTGGGCAATGAGGTGGGCGCGCTGCTTAAAGCTCTTGTCGCACTCTCCGCAGCCAAAGGGCCGCTCGCCAGTGTGCACGCGCCGGTGGTCCAGCAAGTAAGAGCGCAGCGAGAAGCTCTTGCCACAGTCGCTGCAGCCAAAGGGCTTCTCACCCGTGTGGATGCGCTGGTGGTCTGCCAGGTAGGCGCTGCGGCTGAAGCTCTTGCCACACTCAGAACAGGAAAAGGGCTTCTGGCCCGTGTGCACGCCCTGGTGGCGCACCAGGTCCGAGGAGCTGCGGAAGCTCTTTTCGCACTCCTGGCACTTGTGGGGCTTCTCGCCTGTGTGCGTGCGCTGGTGGCGCGCCAGGTCTGAGCCCCAGCGGAAGCACTTGCCGCACTGGCCACAGCTGTGTGGCTTCTCGGCTGCCAGGTCTCGGAACTGTCGCCTGCGCGTGGAGGGCCGCCCCCTCCTCGCCCCCACCGTTGGCTCCAATGGCGCCCCTGGCCGGGCCTCGCTCTCCCAGGACTCTGCCTCCTCAGGGCTCCAGGCCACAGTCACATCGCTGCCCTCCTGGCCTGGGAGCACCCTCACCGCCTCCTCCAGCCGGGATGGCCCCCTTTGGCTCTTGAGTCCCAAACCTGCAAGGGAGAGGTGAGCTCTTCAGTCCCACCTGATCTGGGCTCAGAGTTGAGGCCAGGCACAAACAGGACTCAGTAGCAAGCACCTTGGCTGTCAGGTTCAGAAAATCCTGGGCTGGACAGACCCGAGCCTTTTCCTCATCCATAAAATGGGGACATGATAAAAGGCCAGCAAAGAAACAGTGCAGAGGCAGAGGCAAAGGAAAGGAGTTGGCTTATCTGTCCCAGAGGCACTTACTAATTATACACCTAACCAATCTGTTTCCCTCCCAACTGGGATCCAACACCCCATTCTCTGAACCGCTGGCTGTTCAAACTCCAACAAAACTGAAGAGATTAAGATCAAGTTCATAAGCGATCCAAACTCTCACTATTCATTATCAGAAACAGGAACCACATGGGTTCAGCTACACAAGCTCATGTCTTCTTAACTCAAGAACAGAGTTGGATCCAGAGGGATCCTAGCCCACCCATCAAGTTGTGTGGATTAAATGAGATGATCCCCAAATAGTGCTCAGAAAGGCCCTGGCTTGAAGAGAGTCCAGGGAGTGTGGCCTCTAATGCACAGGGCCTAGGCCTTGGTGCACAGTATGTGTTTTCACTGTCAGCACCTTTTCACAGGGCAACCTGGACAGCCTTGCGACCCCCATTTGGACTGAGTCCTAGCTCTGTCCCTTTGGTGTCCACTGACTTGAGTCTCAGGTCTCTTGTCTGAAAAGCAAGGACAACACTTTTCTGTACTGGGCTGTGAGAATCACACGAGAAAATGCGCATATGAATGCTCAGCACAGTGCTAGCATTTGCAAGCACTCACCATATGTTAATACATGTTCGAAGGCAGAGAAAAATGAACATTAACGCAAAAAAAAGAAATCAGCAAGGGCTCTTGAACACAGCCTGGGAAAGCCCACTTTGGAGCCCGCTGAGAGGAAGTGAGGAGGAAGACTGAGGATTCCAGCAGGATGTGCAGGGGAGTGTGGCCTGCCCGGGCCCTCTCTCTGCTGCTGGGACCCCTCAAGGAGGCTACTGCCTCCAGCTCAGAGGAGCCAAGGACCCCAAAGGGTCCTGGCTGCACCTACTGCTTACCTATGGCAATGTTCCGGGAATTTTCCCGCTTTATGTCCCAGAAAAGATCCCGCTGAGCAGGGTCCAGGGACCCCCATTCTTCCTGGGAGAAATAGAAGGGAATGTCTCCAAATGTCACAGGTCCCTGAAATGAGGTGAGAAACTCTGCTCAGGGCTGCCTTGCTCAGGGCTCCCCTGGCAGCTGTAGGTGGGGAGAGGAAGAGGGTTGGGATGGGGAACAGGATGGGCCCAGGTATGAACAGGATGGATGGAAGAAGCTTTGAGAAGGCAAGGCCCATTTTAGAGACTCATCAGCACTGATGGCCTCAGAGAGGACAAAGGGACTGGTAACTCACATGGATCTCGGGGGCAAAGCAGGCATTCGTTTTCTGTTTGGCATTCCCCTCTTTAAGAAGAGCAGGAAGCTGGGCTGAAAGAAAAGAACAAAGCCTCAGAGAGGCCAGCTCAAGCAAGGAATGAAACCCCACACTCTCTTGTGCATGTGCGTGCATGCGTGAGCACACACACGCCTAAGCTTCACAGAACAAGTACTCTTCCTGCCACCCTTAGGACAGTGCCAGGGAAGGAGCTTACTTACCACCATGGCTGTGCTGCTCCCAGGGTACAGGTGGCTGGCTTTGTGCCCCCGCCTTCGGGGAAGGTCCCTTGGCCTGAGATCCCTGGACTGCAGCCTCAGGTTCCACCTCCTCTGAGGGCACATCCTGTGCAGGAACCACAACATGCCCATCAGCACCGAGACCAGACCGAGGAGACAGAGTTTAATCCCTGGGAAGGAGACATAGGACATGTCCCTCAGGAGGCTAGGTTTGGGGGAGAGATCAGTACAGGGCCCCAGGAAAGTCCAGAGGAGAATGTGATACCAGGCAGTGCCATGTGCCCAGGGACACTTGCTGATCAAGTACAAGGCAAGAACCAGCCCCCAAAGGATAGAATCATAGAGCCATTTAGCAAGGAGGAATGGGGGGAGACTTCCCTGTGAAGAGCAGAAACCCATACCCATCACTCAGCACCTCCCCAGATGCTTCCAGTGTGAAGGACCCAACACCTCCCAAGACAGTAGGGTTCACATGTACAGGTCTACCTTCTCATGCCCCCTCTGGTGCTCTCACTATGCACGTCACTGTATCCCCAGTGCCTGGCCTAGAGCAGAACATGAATAAACATTTGCAGAGCCTGTGTGGAGCTAAAACCTGACTTCCTGGAACATGCCCACTTTGGTCCTGCTCTGCCCTCCGAAGCCACCAAAAAGAAACCAGATTCATTTGGACAGTGTCTTTCAGATAGGCAACACCTGTTGTGAGATGCTCCTGTGGATGTTCCCTCTGGCTCTGTGCCCCCACCACCCCGGAAGACTTATCTCCCAAGTGCCAAACAGATGCCCCTTGATGTGGGAAGGGCCCCTCACCTGAGGCCATGCTTTCACTGGCTGCTTCTGCAGGTCCTCCACCAAGGCAACGGCTTCCTCGCCACTCACTGGGCACCGCTCTCGCACCCAGTCCTGGACACCCCCAGGCAACACACTCAGATACTGCTCCAGCACGAGCAGCTCCAAGATTTGTTCCTTGGTGCGCAGTTCAGGTCGCAGCCAGCGGCAGCAGAGCTCCCATAGCTGGCTGAAGGCTTCATGAGGCCCGCCCGCATCCCTGTAGCAGAACTGCCGAAAGCGCTGGCGGCAGGCCTCAGAATCCCTGCTGTCCTCTTGCTGGGCAGAGTCCTGATCCCAGGAGGAATCTTCCACCTTCACAATTAGAAGCCCTTCTCCCTCCCCAGGGGCCTGGTCCTGAGATTCCAGGGGGGCTGCCATTCCCCTGGCCTAAGGCTCAGGGTTGGTGGGCCTCAACCCAGGAGCCTGCCCTTCAGTCTCCCAGGGGGATTCCCTGTGGCAGCTGGGACAGCATGTGGACACAAACCCCTAGGGAAAGAGCAAAATAGCAGGAGGGGAGAAGGCACATGAGCAAACACCAGCCTGGAGGGACATCCAGGGACTTTAGCTCCCATCCTTTCCTGGCCCTGAGGCCTTTTGTAGGCTTTCCTATAATGCCTTGCTAATAAGACACTCTCTCTCTTACCAATACAGGTCCACAGCCCTTTAGCTTCAGCTCTGGAATCCAAAACTCCCAGGTTTTTAACCACCTGGCCTACTGATCTCCATTTATCCCACTTAATGTAAATGTTCATATATTTTACAGCAGAAATATTAATGTATTTGTTGAATTTGTAAAAATCCATCAAGCTGCTTTACAATGTGTATTTCTGTATGTGTATTATACTTCAATAAAAAAACAGGTTTGATTATTGAGTGTTGTCCTAGATTCTGCTGGCAGGAGGTACTTGATATGCCATGTGTACTGTATTATCTTTCTCAAATTTAAAAACTTCTGGATTGCAAAACACATCTGGTCTAGGGGTGTCAGCGATGGGCTCACAGACACCATCCTAAGCCATTTATCCAAGGGCACATATAAACATATTTATTATGCTTTACATTGCCACTCTTCACAAAAGTCCTAAAAGGGTGTATTTTGGAACTTTGGTTTTTTGTTTCAATAAATGATACCAACCATTGTAATTTTAAAAGGGGGGCGGGAGTACACAATGTAGAAATATATAGAAGAGAAACTCTCCATTCCACAATGCAGTGCACCTTCCCATGAACAATCTGACATATGACCTCCTAGACCTTTCCCTGTGCATTTACTAAAAATGTACCTATAGAAATGAGAGTGAAAAAGTGTGTGTTTTCACATAAATGAGGTCTTATTGCACAAACTATTTTGTAATATGCTTTTCCACTTAACAATGCTTCTTCATTAACCTCCCTGGAAGATTTCACGGTATGGACGTACTCCAGTTTCTCAACCAATATCTAAGTGAGGCATTTGGGGTTCCAGTCCTTTTCTCTACTACACACTAAGCACTTTATTATTTTTTTTAAGTTTATTTTAGAGAGAGAGGAAAGGGGAGGGGGAAGGGGCGAGAGAGAAACATGGATTTGTTGTTCCACTTATTTATGCGTTCACTGGTTGCTTCTGGTGTGCGCCCTGACCCGGGATCAAACCCCAACCTTGGCGTATCAGGGGGACGCTCTAACCAACTGAGCAATCCGGCCAGGGCAAGCACTTTATTCTTGTACTTCTCACAACTCCCCCGAAAGGTACGCGCTCCGTTCTCATCCTCTAGTGATCGAGGAGGAGGCTCCGCTGGGAGAGGGCGAGGGACTCACCAGGGTCGCTCGGCAGGACGCGCGGCAGGCGGGAACGCAGACCGGCCGGAGTCCCGCGCTTGATCCCCAGCAGCCTCGCCGGCGCGGAGCTGAGGCAGCGGGTGCAGCGGGCGCAGGCGCCCGGGCTGCCCCCAGCACTTCTCGGCGGTGCTCGCCCCCTTCGGTCTCTGCCTGGGGGCGCGGGCCCCACCC